GCCGCATCTTCGTTGCATTGCGTGTTGTCGAGAATTGTCAAAGTGCAAGTTGAGCTTGAACCTGAACAAGGTGGACCAGGCGGGAACGTCGTCGACATCCTCAAGCTTGTGTGCGGCTTGTTGTTGTTGCTTGGCGTGTCGGCTCTGGCGGTTTGGAGTTGTGCATCGCGAGAAATCCCGAGGATCCGTGCGGTGAGGGAACATCCGGACGACGAAAGTGACTGGTCAGTTGTTCAGTCTGCACCTGAGGGTGTAGATGCGAAGGACGAGGATGAAGACGATGACAGGGTTGGTTTAAGGGAAGGGTTGAGGAATAGGGCTAGTCGTACTGGGTGTGGGTCCAGGTCTTTGGCCGTCCCGGCTCCCCTAGTCCCTAGTGGTTCCTCAGCTGCCCACGACGGACGCGATGAAGACAGACGACTTGACGGTTCTAGCACTAGTGAGATAGGGTGCGGTTCCAGGTCTTTCGCCGTCCCGGCTCCCCTAGTCCCTAGTGGTTCCCCAGGCGACGACACCTCTCGGAGGAAACAGGTCAGGGGAGCAGGTTCTTCTGGGGCGGAGGACTGGCGAGAGCTTGCTGAGCAATCTTCTGGCAGTGAGGCTGCGGCTGATGCTGATGGAGATGTTCAGGAAGACGCGGATGCTGAGCTTCAGACGGCTATGTTTGCCAGACAGGCAAGCATTTACAGACCTGTCATCTACCCTGGGTGGCATTTCTCTGCGCCGCCGAGTGCCGCGTGGGATCCTGAGCCTGCTTGGGGTGGACCTGAAGGAAATTTTCACCAGCGAATACCACCGAGAATCCGACAGGACTTCTGGTTCCATGATCTTCGACGACGAGTTGTGGTTCGGTTTCATGCGAAGCCGAGGCGGAAGATGTTTCTGCCTGGACCTGCAGGGTGGCCCGATGGTGTAGCGCAGCACCAACTTACTGGACGACGACGAACGCTTGCCAAGCTGCAGTCTCCTGAGGGTCACGAGATCCTTGAAGATGATTGGACTACGGCAGAGAAGCCTACCAAGATGATGGCTCGACAGTGGACCGGAAGGACTGAGTTTGAACTGCGCTAGGGAATTTCATGTTCGAATCTCTGTGACAACCAGTTTTGATGCAGAAGGCCTTGAGCCTCCCGAAATTCTTTAAGAACCTTTTGCTACAGAAGCGCTGAAATTTTCGAAGTATGCATCTGAGAGCTCCTTGAAGTGCGCTACCGCGCAGGGGGAGTCCGAATTACTTTTGAACCCCTCCGTTCTCAGATGCCGATTACAGGATTTGCTGCGACGAAGGCCTTTCTTGTTCGAGAAGAAACAGCGTGGTGAGGCGCGCTGCTCAGAGATTCAGTTCATTTCG